TCCCTTCTAACGATTTTGTACTTCAGAACCTAACTGGTCCTTCGTCTTTTCCTAAGTAATGATATCATCTAAAAATCGCATATTTAATTCAGAAAACCAAAAAATGGCTAAGTTTATATGATAGACTTTTCACAAACCTTTGAATAGATACCTAAATAATATGAAAAAAGAATGGAAGTACTACGGAGGTCCACGGAGACGTGAAGCCGACATAATCTCTACTTTTTTCTTCTGCACCCTTCATTGTTCGAGTGCTCCGGAATTGCTTCCTGCAAGTCTGTTAAATTTTCTTTAAACAACAGAAGCAAACTGTCTCGATACCAACATTTTAGATGGAAAAAGTGATGATACTTACTCATCACCATTTGTTCACATTAGAAAATCATTTGGTGCACGAAGACTGCTTTCTTTTCTTGCGACATACAAGCGACTTTGATACAGATATCACTATGAACCACAGTATCGAGAGATCGAAAAAGAATATCGGACAACGGCTTTTTCGACGTGACTGTCGTTGATGCCGCTTCTGAATCAAATGATGCTTTGATACGTGCAACGAGAGAAGTATAAATGAAAACCAGTGGCTAAGTATTTGAATTTTGTCTGAAATGCCTCAAAAAAGAAGAGGAAAATGACGGAAAGAATGTAGAAATACACAGTTTAAAACGTAGTATAGCTGAGTACAACAAGACTAGCAAATCGAAGGAGGAACTTCAATGCGTCGAAAGGGTTAAATTCAGTTCGAGTAGCTATTCAAGCCCGGAAAATTCCCCTAATTCTTTTATTTTATTTATTTGTTTTTTTTCTTTTCATTTATTTACTTTTTTGCGTTATACCCAAGTAGTTGTAGCTCAAAATAAGAATTTAGACAATATATCCGCAAGCTAAGGTATTAAGGGGTTAAAAGACCATTATTTTATCTACTGCGCATCTGACAACAAAAAAGTGCACAACATCTACCCAGTATTCTTTCATTACGTGTAAAAAAATAAGGGGAGTTTTTGTACTGCTTTCCCGGTGAAGCTCTGCATTATCGAAAGGTAAAAAACACCACTGCAGGATTTGAAGAAGCACAAATCGCATTAATAGGACAAAATCGCACTTCAACAAATGTTCTTGTAATTACCATTGAAATTCAATATGACCACTAAAACAAGGCATTGAAACCTTACAAAATACCACCAAATGACTGGGAGAGATTGCTCATCATGAAATCACGCGCTAAAAAGGAGTGACATGACACGAATAAAGACTA